ATACCCCAGCCTGTAGAGGAGGTAAAAGAACAGAAAGAGGTGCTCCTGAGAGGTGCCTTAAGAAGGCAACTCTGAGAGAAACGTGCAGCAGAAAAGGGGGTGAGCAGGAGGGACGCCATTCCTCTCCTTAATCCTCTTCTGCCCACAGCTGTCTCCCTCATCCCCCATGGATTCCTGGGTTCTGAGCCGCCTCGCCCACACCGCCCAGGAGTGTGAGCGGGGCTTCCTCAATCTCGAGCTCTCGCTGGTCACCCACTCCCTGCACCATTTCTGGCTCCACAACCTGTGTGACACCTACCTGGTGAGTGAAGCCAGGAGCACGTCTCATGTTTCCACACCGCAGACCTGCTTCTAATTCTTGACTCCAGGTTCCAACTTAAGTTCCTGTGGTCCCCTCATTCCTGGGACTCATCTCTGTGGGGCAGCCTGATTATTGTTTCCTGCCTGCCAGGAAGGAGGGAGGAAGGGAGACTTCTGGACATTAGGATCTGAGGCTGACAGGGATTCGTGCCAGCCCCTTGCTGAGTGAGAGACCTGGAGCATGCTTCACACCAGGGCTTCTCAGACTTGGTGTCTGCTTCTGGGGCATCCAGAGGGCTTGTTACACAGATTCCACACTTCAGAACTTCTCAGTCAGCAGGGACCACACGAAGAACTACTACCCTAGTTCACTGCGTCTCACCACCTTAAAACCCTGTGCTCATAAACAGGACACTCAGTGCTTCTCCTTCTAAACTACAAGGGGGCTGATTCCAAAAGGTCGTGGAAAATTCCATTGTCTTAAATCCCTTTTCATGAATGTTTTGAAGCCACCTGCGTGCACACACCTCTCTGGAAATAGTATTCCCAACTCCCTGGGGAAATCACTGTTGTAGACATCCCTCTTCTCTCACACTCCAGAGCATGGCCGGGCACTGCTGAGTGCTTCTGCCCCTTCTCTCTCCCAGGGACTGTCCTTTATCCACAGTGTTCCCACCCTGGGGAGGACTGAGGTAGCTTTGGCCTGTCCTCTGACCTGTTGTGTTCCTCCCCAGGAGGCAGTGAAGCCACTGCTGGCGCGCTCCCCCCGCCCCTTGGAGCCTCCTCAGATTCTGTTTTCCTGTGCGGATGTTGGCCTCCGCCTCCTCGCCCCGCTAATGCCCTTTCTGGCTGAGGAGCTCTGGCAGCGACTGCCCACCAGGCCAGATTGCTCCTCTGCCCCCAGCATCTGTGTTGCCCCCTACCCCAGTGCCTGCAGCTTGGTGAGTTACACTCGGATGTGGTGTCTTGGGGTTAGGCTGGGCAAGCAGTCTCCTGAAAGGGTTTCTGGTAGTCTAGTAGTTAGAACTTGGTGTGCTCATGACAGGGTTTGCCGCAACGGTGTTATTGGTAATGATGGCCCGTTGTCTGCTCACCTGCCTTCAGGAAGGTGGGTCGTTACTGCAAGTTACTGTCATTACTCTTGCCAGGCTCCTGAGGGGATAGTCGTGTGGTGGTCAGGAGAAGGACTTTTGCTAGTGTGGCACTAGTGTGTGACTGTGCCTCAGTTTCCTCCATTGTTGAACTGGAGCTACTACATGCCATGACTGATGAGAGTTAGGGGAGGCGGTAATGAAAAAAAACAAGAACAAAACCCATTGTTCTCAAGGCAGTTCCCACTCATGGCAACGTGGCAATGTCAGTGCAGTGTTGAGCGCTAATAACTTCATCCCCCCCAAATAAAAACAAAACAACAAACCTTTTAAAGAATAACAATTCAAACAATTTTTTTTTGCAGTCTGTTGGTTTTGTGACTTTTGGATAATGTATTGTTAAATTAATGTTTGGTTGTTTACCTTCCTAAACCAGGGGTTACTAGTTAGATGTTAGCCACAGATTGTCTAAGATCTTTGAGGGTGACTGTTGTGTGCACACCATGTTTCATCCCTTGAGGTGGTGAATCTTATATGGTGGAGAAGGCAGATCTTGGTGTCCTGGGAGATGGGGGAGGATGAGCTGAGGAGGGATCCTGCTTGCCAGCTTTGGTCCCCATCCCCAGGAGCACTGGCACCAGCCCGAGTTAGAGCGGCGCTTCTCCCGGGTCCAGGAGGCTGTGCAGGCACTGCGAGCTCTCCGGGCCACATACCAGCTCACCAAAGCCCGGCCCCGAGGTGAGAGGGGTGCTGGGCACTGGGCACCTGTGAGAAAAAGGGGTGGACTGGGGAACTCCTGATGGACAGACCCCAGAGTCAGAAGCACACAGGCTGGGAAGGATGGATGTCCACTTGACCTGGTGCCCCTTGTTGCCCTCAGTGCTGCTGCAGAGCTCAGAGCAGGATGAGCAGGACCTCTTCCAGGCCTTCTTGGAGCCCCTGGGCACTCTGAGCCACTGCGGGGCCATGAGCCTCCTCCCCGCAGGTGTGGCAGCTCCCACCGGCTGGGCCCAGGCTCCACTCACTGGCACCATTCAGATCTTCATGGAGCTGCAGGTGACCAGATAATTGGAGGAAAGGGAGGTTTTTCAGATGAAATCTGGGGAGGTGGACTCTATATAAAGGATAGGGAGGAGACAGAATAAGGAAGGAGGCCGGGCAGCTCTGTAGAGTCAACCTTCTCTCCCTGTCCCCCAGGGCCTGGTGGACCCCCAGACTCATCTACCTCTGCTGGCTACCCGAAGACACAAGTTGCAGAAGCAGCTTGAAGGCCTCCGAGGTCAGACCTCATCCCAAGGGGAGGCAGAGATGCAGCGGCAGCACAGGGTGAGACTGGGGAAGGATGCCTAGGAAACCCATGGAGCTCCTGAGGGAACGCTGACTGGGAGCAGGCAGCCTCCATCCCTGAGTCCTCACAGTCTTCTCTCCTCTGGCAGCTGTCTTCCCTCCAAATGGAGTTGGCGAAACTAGACCAGGCAGCCTGTCACCTGCAGCAGCTGATGGAGGAGTCTCAGCCCTCGGAGCTCTGAGCTCTAACTCTCACCATCCCTGTCAGTGTTCCTCCCTCCCAGACCTGCCTTTGAGGACAGCTTCATCATCGTTGTGGGACTGAGACCACAGAGACTGCTTTTTGTCCACTGCCCTCGTTTTGTGAATGAGGAAACGGCCTGACTTGGCCAGGTGGCTGTGGGCTCTTGCCCAACTCCCTTTGGTGTGCACTGTGAACTTTGGAATGAGGAAATCCAAAACATGTCTGCTGGTGATTCTATGTCCTCGCCTTCCCCTGGTGGTGATGTTCTTTCCTCAGCTCCCTGAGAGGCTAGTCTGGGGAAAGAGGAGGAATGCCTCTTAGCTTCAGGCTCTGGGGCCACCATGGGAGAGTGGTTGCTGGGAGATAGGTCAGTTATGGGGTAGGTAGAGACACAATGACCCCAGTGAAATGCCCTGACTTCTGTGGGCCCTCCCAACTCCACTTCATGCCCGATGGAAGCTTCCGTGCTTCTTGGCCTGGTTTTCCACCTGAGACTGAGGTGCTGGAGACACTGCCCAAACCCTGACTGAGTTTAACACTGAAACCAGACAAACACCCACCCCGCACACTTTGTCTCATATCAGTGGAATTCAGGGGCCTGACCCTTTTATTCCCAAGTCACATTTTGTCCAGCAGCTCTGAGCAGCTACTAGTTATACAGGGCCCATCATGGGCTGGGTCCTCCATGGTGTCAGGTGTACAATGCCATTTAATCCTCCCAAAGAACCTAATAGGTGGGTGTTAGCTCCCTTTTGGAGATGAAACGCACTTAGTATGAAAATCATTTGTTCAAGGTCTCCTCTTGAATTTAACCCACTAAATTAGGTGCAAGCCCGTCTGGCTGCTGTTACTGGGTGTAGGCAGGGTTACCGCTAAGTGCTAAGGAGAACCCTGAGCCCCTAAGGGGACTAGAATTGTATCAGTTTGGACCAGATTTCTGCTGTGATAACAAAACTTACCATCCATGCCCATTTACATATGGTATGTGCCCTGGATAGCTTATCATCTGTTATCCTCCCAGCAATACTACAGCAGGAGCTATTATTTTCCTTGTTTTGAAGGTAAGAAAATGAGGTTCTGAGAGAATAAGAAAGTTGGCCAGATTGGAGACAGGGCCCATGTGGCACTGCTGACAACCCTCTCTTCCCACCACTGGGACCTAGTTGGCTCTCCTATTACAAGGAGCTTTTGAGTTAAACTCATCGCCCACCTGAGCTGCCTTGCACCCCATATCCCACCCAGATTGATCCCTGGGTTAGCAGACTGTCTAGGGTGGTGTTCTGTCCACATCCCTATGTGAGGTTCCTGAGTCAGCCCAAATGCTCAAGCAAAGGGAGATCAAATGAAAATCAGGTTTAAGCCTCCTGCTCACGTCGGCGACTAACCTTACCACTGTGAAGGGACTTGAGGCAAGTGACATTCTCTTAAGCCTCAATATCCTCATCTGTAAATTAATGACATCAATATACTATATCTGTCCCTGGGTGGTACAAATAGTTAATGCCTTCAGATGCTAACCAAAAGGTTGCTGATTTGAGTCCAACCCAGAAGCACCTGGAAAGAGGCCTTCCAAAAAAAAACTTCCAAAAAAAACCCAGTCATTGAACCCTCCATGGAACATAGTTCTTTCTGACACATATGGGGCCATCAGTGTTGACGACAGAAGAAAAACCCACTATGGTTAAGACTGCTGCAGACATCAGAGTGGGAAAGCATCGTGCCTGCCACCAAGTATAAACTCAATTAGTGTTCCTTTTCTATCCCCACATCCCTGAAGACCTCAGCTTGAAGTGTGTCCAGTGTGTGTTGCCCCAGATGGCTCATGCCCAGATTTCCTTATAGCCTATGATGCTGGTGTTGAGGTAGAGTGTCCATCACCGGCCCCACTGCTCAGCAACCCTGAAGGGAGAATCAGACCTGAGGTCCAACACATGTCCTGCCAGAACCATGCTCACAGACACAGAGTTGAATGAATTCAGAATGTTTACTGCTCCTCTGCAGATGAGGGCCTGCTGAGTACGGCCTATACCCCAGTGGTCAAATGCCCCAGCCAAGAGGGGCACAGGGCTTAGCTGCTCTCAGGCTTTGCAGGTGATGTGCTGGGAGGATCTTGCATGGTGGAGGGTAACATTGGTCCCTGGGGGGAGCTGGAGGAGCAGGCAGAGCTGGAGAAGAGGAAGGGTTAGAGGGAGAGGTATAAGATGACTTCACACACACCCCTGAAACAGCCAGACCCCACTGAGCAGTGCAAACAGATCCCATTCCAAGCATACACAGTCCCATCCAAAGAATTACCTTCTCAAGCAAGACCAGGAAGCTGGAGTCATAGGAATTTTGTGGAAAAGACTCCTTCAGCCTCAGTTGCAAAGTCATACCTGGTCCTGGGGACTCAAAAGTATAGTTTAGTTCCCAGTGACCAGGGTGCATGTGCTCCTCCAGTCCCACACCCCTGAACAATCCCTCTTCCCATCTGCCCTGAATCCTCAGAAACTCAGGTCTGGGGTGCCTCCTCTCTCAGTGACCAAGGAATCCCACTCCCTGTCTTCTTGCCAGGAGACCCGTATGTCTAGCCTTGCTCCTCACCTGTTTCATGTGAACTGCTGAGTAGGGGCAGGAGGAGGAAAAGGGGCAGCGCAGTCCCCATCATGGCCAGCCTGCTTCTGGGATGACTGAAGAGAAATCAGTTCCCCAGTTTGCCCTCCTACACCCCACACAGTCCTTAGTGCATGGGTTTGGGGGAGTTTAGGAGGGGAAAGCAGGGTAACTGGATTTTCCTGTTCTCCCAGTGTGCCTTGAGGACCCAGGAGAGGGCCATTCACTGAGCCCTACCCCCTCATTTCATGTTTGGAGGCTCCTGGCTCCTACAGAAGAGAGAAGTCTAAGAGGTAGCCCTCCTGCAGTGTCTGGGCCCCCGCCCAAGCCTAGGCCTCTCATTGCTCTTTAGGGATTAATTATTAACTGCAATTAATTTCCATCATTCATGCCACCGAAGGGCTCAGGAATGTGGGCCCAAAAGGGAGGGGTAGATTAGTCAAGTTTCTTCCCAAACCTAAATGCCCTGCTCCCTACAGCTACCATACTTTTGTGGGTAATGGGTAACTTTCATCTTTGAATGTTTTGTTTCAGTTGCTCTACCACATCCTAGAGACTCAGGTGGAGGCATGAGTTTCTATCAGATACTCCCCCCGCCCTTCATACTCATGTAAAAGGGACACAGTATTCCCAGTCAACACCGTTACATGCAGGGTACCCAGTATGGCAAATATAGGATAGAATTATAGAATGGGAAGGGAGTTGGGGGTCCATCTAGTTAACTGTCTTTTTTTTTAAATACTAGGAAGTAAGCCCAGAGAGGGTAATTACTAAGGTCACAGAGAAGATCAGTAGCAGAGATTAGAACCCATCCCTCATTGTGTCAGACACACAGTGACATGCTTAACAGACTGACACAGAAGTCACGTAAACCCAACAGGAATGAAGAGACTCACACACAAAGGCATGTGCTCTGCATCTTCCTATCTGTCTCTCTGATGTCTCATCTCCACACCCCAGGCACTAGGAAAACCAGAGGGATCAAGCACAAAGGTACGGAGGCAGAGAGCAGAGTTCAGAAGAGGAGCAGCAAGGCCAGGGAAATGGAGAGAGAGAGACAGGGTCACACTGTGAATAAAAAGTTTAACCAGCCAGAGCCTCCCAGACTCACTGCAGAGGAGGAAGATCACAGTGGGGTTAATAAATGGACAAAACAGAAACTGACATGGGAGATTTGAACAGGAGGTTTAACAGGGGTGGGGAGTGGGGGGGGGCAGAGATGTTTGGGACATCTTTAGAGGACAGTGGGGCTCCCCTAGGCTTTCTACACCACCTTGACACTCCTGTGTGCTGGATGCATTAAAAATACAAAAAAAAAAACCGGTTGCCATTGAGTTGACTCATGGCGACTCGTGTGTGTCAGAGTAGAACTATCAATAGCATTTACAATAGCTAGTTTTCCTGAAGTAGTTGACCAGGCTTTGCTTTTTAGATGCCTCCAGGTACACTGGAACCTCCCATCTTTCAGTTAGCAACTGGTGTGTTAATCATTCCCACCAACAAGGGATTCAGCTAAGGACTCAGCTAGACACATTACAGACATCACTTCCTTTAACGCTTATAACAACCCTTTGAAATAGGTGCTAGATTATCCCCATTCTATAGATGAAGAACTAAGACTTAGATTGGTCAAGTGACTCACCTAGGGTTGTACAGCCCAGAAAAGGTGGAATGGGGATTCAAGGGAGTGTCATCTGGCTTCAGAGCTAGGCTCTGAACTTGAACAAGACATGTCCTTAAGTCTGCCCCCTCTCCCTTCATCCCTTCTCCACCCCAAAATGGAGAGCTCTGCAGTCTGCAGCAGTGTAAACACGAGATGGCTCTGCTGTTCACCTTTCCACTCTGCCCTGGTGGACTCCCTAGGGTCAGAGACACATTCTCCATTCCTAGTGGTCTCCCTGCTCATTCCCCCAGAACACAAAAAGTCAAGCCCACTGTCGTTGAAATGACTCTGACGCATAGCCATTCTAGTTGGGGTTTCTGAGACTGTAAATCTTCACAAGAGCAGACAGACTTCATCTCTCTCCCTAGAAGTGCCTTGTGGGTTGAACTGCTGACCTTTTGTTTAGCAGTTCAGTGCTTATCTTACAATGTCATCAGGCCTCCTCCCTCCCCTTTCTAGACACCACAAATCCTACTTTGCTGTTGTTCTGAATCATAGTGACCCTGTATAGGGTTTCTGAGGACTGGCTGGTGGATTTGAACTGCCACCCTTGAGGCTCAAACCAACATTCCAGTTGAGTGTTTATCTTACAGTACCATACTTCCTGAGAGACCCATATATCCTGATCCTCAGTGGTTGTATTTCTAGGAGCAAGAGGAGAACCTGGGGGTAGGACGCCTGGGTCTCTTCCCTTCTAGGATGGTTTGGGCTAGGGTCAGATTCAGGCCTGGGGATTAGTCCTTCATCTGGGAGGAATCTAAGGGCAAGGTGGGGGAATCCTTAGTTTCTTACTCACTGTCCCCCTTGCCCAGTGCTTCCTGGGATTAGGCTAGGACAGGTTAATCTCCTGGGGACAGCTTGGTGACCTCTCCCTCAGGATGGAGATCCTGGTGTTGATGGAGGCCCTGGCACACCTGGTTCTCCTAAGATTTGTAATCCGTCTCAGAGCCTTTAAAGACTCAGGCAGATGGGCTGGCTGAGACACTGTGACCTGCACCATGGATGCCGCGACGGTTCTACTACTGCTGGGCCTTCAGGCCTTGTCTGTTCATGGTGAGCTCTGGGGGTGAGGATATGGGCTCTGGACCACAGAATTAGCCAACACTTCTAACTTGTGGTTTATCTTCTTTTTCCAACAGCTCAGCTGACCTTATCCGGAGTCTCTGATGTAGTCTCTCTGGGTGTCCCCGCTGTCTCTCCAGGTCTCCCCGCTGTCTCTGTGGGTGTCCCCACTATCTCTGCAGGTCTCCC